ATAATATACAATTTTCACTTTTTGAATGGGATTACTGAAATAAATTAACTTTTTTATGATATTCTAATTCATGACTAGCACCTGTATGTTATTTTTATCTTCAACAAAATGTAAGTTTTGAGAATGGAGAGGTGAGTTCTCACCATAAACAAGGATTTTAATTGAGGATTGTTAAATTGAGTTAATTCCTTGTGTTAAAAATGTATATGAGGTAGGTGTCCGTCACACATTTAATGTGTTGAAGTTCAACCCAACGCAGCTGAGGTGAGTTCTCCTCCGAGCCTCGATGCTTGCTACAATTTTAAAAGCTCACGTCACTGCAGCACAGGTGTTGTGCTAAAATATGGTCGGGTCCCCCAGGAGCACAGCTCCTTGATGTTTCTGCTGCTTTAGCTCTTAAAGTCAAACAACATTTATTGTAAAAGATGCATATTTGTAAGCACAAGTTCATAGCAAATGTGTGTCTCCAATGAACACTTTGTGTCATTTTCACATTTGTAATTAGCCAAAAAATATCTGCAGATTTTAATATTTCAAAAGATTAAAACAATATAATAAGACTTTAGCTGTTTGGATGTATTTAACTTGCTTTTATATGGAAGCATACTGTGATGTAACTCTACTGTGATAAATGTAGAGCATTTAATGATCAAATTAAATAAAAAGGTTTTTGCATTAATTCTGTTGATTTTGTTTACGTGTATTCTTACCAATCATTTAGGTGTTTGATAAGGGGGAGTGATGATGCAGAGGTTAGAGAAGGTGGGCCTGTGATCGAAAGGTCGCCGGTTTGACTCCCTGAACCAACGATATCAAAATGTGGGTGGGAAAGGTGAAACACCCACATCTGCCTCTATCCTAATTTCCCCCACTTTGGGCCCTTGTGCAAGAACCTCAACCCCCACCATCTGCTCCCCTGGGTGCTGTAGATAGCAGCTCTCTGCTCAGTGGTCTGTAGGACATCAGGCGTTCAAACATTTGCCAAGTCTTCGTGCGAGTTAGTTCACTGTGGCTCCTGAAGAAGGGAGCAGCCCAAAAATAAATAAAAAAAATAGGTATTTAAAGTACAAGTACTTTTATACACATAAAAGTCCATAAATAGTTATTTTCAAATAAAGTAACACTCATGAAAAAAAAAAAAAAAAAAAAAAAAAAAAATATATATATATATATATATATATATATATATATATATATATATATACAGTAGTCGCTAGCTACTTCGCAGTTCATTTATCGAGGACTCGCTCTATTGCGGTTTTTCAAAATAAGATTGGACATGACACACAATTGGTTGATTGATGGATGAGCCGCACGATAGACATGGAATTTTAATTTAAAATGAATTACTTTAAAATATTTAGCATCTGCTGCACATTTGTGCAGCCTTTACTGCAGGATAAACTTCCTACTGCAGCTGATCAGTTGTTCTCCATGCAGAGCAGAGAAGTGGGCGTGGCCAAGAGTGCTTACAGGTGGCAAAGAGCAGAGGAGGCAGCGAGCTGAAATCATGACATTCTGATTACTTACTACTTAAACCTCTATTCCCACTTCGCGGTCTTTCACTTATCGTGGGTACACCCTGGACAGGTAGCAAGTCCATCACAGGGTCGTTCAACAGCCAACTTTAGTATTTTTCCAAGACGTGATTACAATAATCCGAGTGTAGCTTGTGCACACAAGCAACAACTAGCTTGGAGTTAAAGCAGACTGAGAATCATTTGAACAACAGCAGTTTATTCAGTTTGATGGTAAAAGGGAAGCAGAAGGAAACTGTCATTTAGTTTCTGCTGTTACAAAACAAGAATAAACGCTGCACAGTAGCATGCATGTTTTATATGAAAATTAGTAGCAAATATGTTGAGTTTTCTAACTTGTGTTTAGATGTACAGTACATCCTTTGTGTTGTAAATCAGCCCGTTTTTTCCTGGGACATTTTGCACTCAGTGGCAAACAGAATGGGGCGGTAAAAGTGACCCAATCTTAGCTTGAGCAGAGCCGTTGTTCCATGAGAATTATCCTGCGCAATCATCATTTACTTTTGGTCGACTGATCAGAGTCAACGTGAAAAGCCTGAAAAATGAGCGTCCCTGCCTCCGTTACAGACTGTTTCACAGAAACCTGTTCATGCTATGCTGGGCTCGTTTTAGGAAAATATGAAAGTTTAATTCCCCCCTTCAGAACACACTGCGATCTCACTGACACAAAAAGCTCTTCCTGTGCACTGCTGCCTTGGATAACTCGGTTCACTTTGATACAGCAGCTGTTAATATGGCTGTAATATGAACACATGCTAATAATAACATGACATACATGAAACAGTTTGATCAGCCGGTTCAACGTTAGTTTACCTCTCAGATAATATGTAGTCCAAATATTTTGTCTCACAGTTAAATTTGACCTGAGCTGTTGTTTTCTTTCTGTTTGCAGCTCGACCGATCAGACAGGTTTGTTTTTTCTAAAGCAGACTTTGACTTGTTACAGCAGAGATAATCACACAGACTAAAGCAGAACAAAGCCACAAACTGACCGTTTGAAGCCTCTCTATTCAACCAACAAACTGACAGCAAACAAATTAGGACATAAAGGTTAAGATGAAACTCATACTTGAACTCGCATTTGAAGATAAATCTATTTATATACTGTTTGGAAATACGATATTTTCAAAGGAGCCACCAGATCAGTGATGAGTGAGTATGAAGACATCTTTTATCAATCACCAAGAAGTGAAGTGGACATTCATGTGTCTGTCTGTCTGTTAGCAAAATATCTAATAAACCAATGGACAAATGTTGATAAAACTCAGTATAATTTGATGTATATCTACGACTACAATACATTATGAGTAAACCTTATTTAAGATGGCTGCCACAGCTAATCCACCTTGGCCAACACAAAAATGGCTCCAACTCAGTCAGTTACAGATGTTAAGCTAAAATTTGATGTGGAAGCAGTTGAGCGTCACTTCCAATATTTACTCTGAGCATGAAAAAAGAACAATTTCATATGTAAGTTGGCGGGTAATGTTCGTTTCTAGTTCATGACGGACGTTGTTGCTTCATAATAAAGTGTTAGAGTCAAATGATGATTTAGAGTCAGAACTTAGTGATCATAAATAATGATGCACTTTCAGGGACTTTCAATATTCATTCAACCTTTATTTAACAGGTTAATCCCATTGAGCCTCGAGTGCTCATTCACAAGAGAGACCTGAGTATATATATATGACTATATACGACTTAACATCTGACAAAGGGTGGCTGCATTTATTTATTATTTTGTTGTAATAAGAATTGGGCAGCACGGTGGCGCAGTTGGTAGAGCTGCCACTTGTCAGCGAGAAGGTCGCTAGATTGAAACCCAGTTGGGGACCTTTCTGGGTGGAGTTTGCATGTTCTCTCCGTGTATGCGTGGGTTTTCTCCGGGTACTCCGGTTTCCTCCCACAGACCAAAAACATGCATATTAGGCTGATTTGTAACTCTAAATTATCTCTAGGTGTGAGTGAGAGTGAATGGTTGTTTGTCTTTATGTGTCCCTGTGATGGACTGAAGACCTGTCTAGGGTGTCCCCCGCCTCTTGCACAGTATTGCTGGACATGAGCACCAGTGACCCCTGCGACCCTAAAAGGAAGAAGCAGGTAAAGATAATGGATGGATATACAAAGTACATGTATGTACAGTAGTCCCTCGCTACTTGACGGTTCAACTTTTGCGGACTCGCTCTTTTGCAGGTTTTCAGCATAAGCTTGTAAACGACGCACGATTGTCAACGTTAACATTACTCATGTGATTGAGATGGTACAGAATCAAAAGTTAACCAAAAAAAAAACTTTAGACAGGCGCCGCCATTTTGTAGTTTTCTTTCAATAAGCCTATACTGTAATTCATATCTTAGATCTTATTTCTGTTTTTCTTTTACATTTTATACTTTTGTTGGATGTAACTGGGACCAAGTGTACATGATTTCGTTCCACCACATGGGATGCGAATGACAATAAAGAAAACCTTGACCTCAACCTAAGGCCAGTCAAAAGAACTACACTTCCCAGAAGCCAACAGTGCTTCCAACCATTGCTTTCTGCTGAAATGGAGGTAAAGTTTAGCAATGCAAAGTCAGAAGTAACAATCTATCTATTAAACTGACAGAACTGGCAGGAAAGTCGAAAATAAGCTCAATTATCCACGCGCACGTCAACCTGGATGTGGCGGTTAGCTTTGTCGCTGCAGGGTAGGTCTGCGGAACCGGAACTGAGACCATCTGGAACTGAGCTGCTGTTCTGCAGAGCTGGTGAGTACTCAAAATGTTGCAGTACTGTATATAAGTATTTTGTTAAAATTACGTAGTTTTAAGAGTTTAGACATTGTTAACATTGAAAGAGTGTGGGAAGGATTTATAAAGCCTTAAAATATATATAAATACTAAAATAAATATAGCGTTCCTACTTCGTGGTTTTTCACATATCGCGGTGATGTCTAGAACGTAAAATTTGCGATAATCAAGGGTCTCCTGTAGTAAAAATTTATGTTTTTTAATATAATACATAAAACACTCAGTTTAGATGATAGAACTGATCAGAAGTGAGCAAAAACCAACAAATGTAATATTCTCTGTGCTTTTTGTTTTCTTTAATGACAAAATTGTGAACTGTCTGAATTATTTTTTCCTTATTATCATGATTGAGGGGTTTGTATGCTGCTGTGATCCCATGAGTGATGTTTGAAGGGCAATGAGATTTAATAAATTAATTCACTGCTATTGAGGAAGGTACCTGATCACATTTTCCAAATCAGGGGCTCTCTGCTCAGACTGTTGTCCCTCGACAAGATAAGAAATAATGAAAAGATGGATGCACTGATCACTTCAACAAGAAATGAGACAATCCTTTTTAAAATAGGAATTGAGGATAAACTAAATTAATAAAAGAAAGTGTGTAAAAATGCACAGAGGGTGATAATCTATTCAGCAGTGAGCTCGTGTAAATGTGTGACTGTGTACTCACAACTATCTTCTTCTTCAGAAATGAGCTTGACCACGTAGCAGGCGTAGATGAAGCCCACCAACTGGAGACAAAGAGAAAAGTAAAAATAAATGAACATCATTCTTTTGGAGTAAACAAAAGCACAGACAGACAGAAAAGTTGCAATAAACGTGGGAAACAGGTGTTGGAATAAGTGGAGCAGAGCAGCGGTGTGATATTTTTGCTCCTAAATAGAGCACTTCAATCAAAAACATGCACGCACACACAGTTCGCCCAGACTTTCATGTTTGAATTGTTCTCACTACATTTGAATAAAATTATTAAACTATAAAAATAAATCACAGCCGTTTCCTCATACAAATGCTACTTATCTTAATAAGAAAGATCACAATCGGTGAAATTAAAGTTTCTGCTGGGCTCATTCTTTTGATGTATGCTGTTAAGTTTTCTAGATTTGTATTGTATTATTATTATTAATTTTTAACTCCATAATTCAACGGAGGACTCAAAAAGTGATGGGGGCTTCCTTTCAACAATTAAATTATGGTGTTACATGATTTGGACACTCTCTCCCTTAACCAAAAAGCACCTCTGGTTATTAAGTGTTCTGATTATCTAACAGTAATCAGATACAGATAGGCCTGTCGCAATAAACAATAAATAAATTAATCGCATCATAAATTAAAATTATCAACCTCATTTTCATTTATCAGCTTTATCATTTCTTCGTGTCTCTTTCTTTCTACTGAAGACACTGGATGACAAAGGGCTCAACTCCGGTGCTCTTCACTGACCCCTCCCTTTCTCTTTTCTCTTTAAAATCCATTTTAACGATCCAAAATCATGTTTTTGGATCGTTAAAAGCAGCTAAGTTGTGAAGCTAAGCTACGAGCTAAGCTAATAAACAGACTTCGGAAAAAACCTCTGTCTTGTTGAAGCTCCAAAAATCACGGTTGAAACCCGTGCCTTCGTTTAAAAAGTTGTTTTTCTCTGCAAAAAGAAGCTGAGAACTTGTTTACTGATTTTTTATTAAAAGCTTTGTGTGAAAAATACTATGCTAAAGAGCTCAAACCACAACGAGCGTCCACCATTTTGAGAACTGAAAAACAGGAATGAGAGACAGCCCATGTCACGTCAAGGGGCCTCTCTCCCATTTTTCTTAAAGAGACGCTGCTCTCTCCCTCACTATCCATTCTTCAGTTCAAACAGTCTTATACTTCCATCTGGTGGTCAAAAAAGGTACTACACACAAAAATTAACCAACATTTCTTCATAAATGTAATAATTACTAATTATTGTCAAATTTCAAACAATATTATCGTTTATCACAATAATTTCTGAGACAATTAATCGCCCAGCAAAATTTGTTATCGTGACAGGCCTAGATACAGATAACACAAACCTAAACATACACAAATAGACATCATCTTCACAAACAGGCATGTTTTCACAACATTCATTTCACATTTTGGCTCTAAGCATGATCTCTTCGAAATACTGTGCCAATCCCCAAATCCCCAGGGGAGTGGTGGCGCAGAGGTTAGAGAGGTGGGCTTGTGATCCGAAGATCGCCGGTTCACGCCCCGACAACATCAAAATTGTGGGTGGGGTAGGTGAAACACCCACACTTGCCCCCACCCTCATTCGCCCCACTCTGGGCCCATAAGCAAGGCCCTTAACCCCCACCATGTGCTCCCTAAACAGGTCTCTCTTGAAAATGAGTTCTCGTGACTCAATGAGACTAACCTGTATAAATAAAGGCTAAATGAAAAAAAAATAAATAAAAAAATATCCCCAAAACCTGACAATTTTCAGTTTCATCTGCAACTCTTGGCCTCTACGGTATCTGTAACATTTTTTTTACTTCATAATTAATCAAATGTCTCTAGAATTGAAAGCTGGAGTTTTTATTTTTACAATCAATGTTTTGGCATTACTGAAATTCTGATTATCTGAATCTCTCTGTCAGAATAGTCACAATTCTTAGGTTTGTTCTCTCATACAGGACACAAAATCACATTCTGGACAGATATTATTTTTAATAGATGAACATGTTATCTATAAGAAAGATCCTTCAAGGGCTTTTCTCTGGGTCAGTGTGACAAAACCACCATTACATTTGGCCTGAACACATAGACAAACAATCTTACTTCACCGATTTGAAGTGGGGCATTGTTGACTACTGCTTGCATACTAAATATGTTCCTAACCCATCTATTTGAGGCATGTATTTCTAACAAAGAAAAAAAAAACTGTTATAAAATGTGAAACTGGTTGCAGTTTTATGCTCATGTTTTAGGATTTGTACTGAAGAAAAAAAATCTTGCACTAAAAATGTGTGTGTTTGTGTTTGCTCGTCATGTTTGGACAGTGCTGCAGTACAAATTAACCAAACCCCTTTAGTTGTCTGATCTGCTCTTTCATTGGCTGTCTGTTTCCAAGGCAACTGATAGGAGGTGGCCAACTGAAGCGAGCATACAGGAAGACAACGCAGTCACTGCAAGGTCTGCATTTCAGTGACCTTATTGCCCTTGGCTCTATCAAGGAGGAAAGAGGGATAGGGTGGAAAGGAAATGTGTTAGGAGAAGAAGTGGACACAGACAGAGGAGCACCTGTGGGGTTGAACGAGCCATTACCCTGGAGAAAAAAAGAGGCTTGAATGCTCAAATCAGCCTTTAAGTATAGAGGGCGAAAATGACATTGACCCGGCTGGTATTCTATTGACTACACAGACAACGCATGCACACACATAAACACTCAGCAAGCTGCGGTTCCAAGACACGCCATTTGGGATTCAGCAAATATCTCAAGGTCTTGACCTCATTTAGTCTAAATAATGTCTGGTTCCCAAAGCTCCTCCTGTGCACACTTTTCCTCTTTCAGCTTCCTGCTTTCTTTCCTTTGTCTTTTTACCTTAAGAACCCATTCTCTTTCTAGATCTTTTCTCTCCTCCATCCCTTATTTGTTTCCAAAAAGAAACAACTTACAGAAGTAGAAGAGTTGTGCCATGTGGGTCCAATTTACTGCTGCAATGTTGCTGCTAGTTTCACAATGAGGACCGGCATTGATGGGAAAATCTGTGAGCTTCATACAGCAGATATGACTTGAAGAGTGACCCCTGATCAGAGATGCTGATAACCTTTACTGGCTACATCAACTAAACTGTCACTGCTGAAGTTTGGAAGATTAAGATCCCATCAGCCCACAAGCAATTGGTGGCAGTCCTATCTTGAAAGATGTTCTTTTTTAAATTAATACTCACCTGAAGGAGACATTAAACATCAGAAAGTCAGGCTATTGTTAAAGAAACTCACAGGAGTTTAGAGTTAACTCCGATCTGGAGCCTGATCTGTCTTCTCCAGGCTCATTGACTCTGAACATGGCCGCAGGGTACAGTTTTGTTAGCGTGACTGAATATGGTGCAGAGTCATGCCCGCACTGCAACACAGCCTGCTTGATCAGCCTCGACAGAACACCTTTTCTGCAAACATCAATATCCTGTTAATATTTCTCAAACTCAAGTATCCAGTTTTCTTGTTGTTACATGTAAACATAATATCCTGTTGTCTATAAATGTGATTATATCTCACTGCACATCGAGTAAACAGGATAGCTCGGGAGCACAATATTAGATTTGGGGTTGTGCCTTATCTTGTTTGTGAGTTTGTTAAAGTTATATTCAAACTGTTCTGTTCATAACCTTACAATGTTTGTTTAATAAAAAAACAAACCTGTTAACCAATTGAGATTGATAGTCATCTGTGTGCCATATGACTCTATAACCAAAAATTAGGGCAAGGTTGTAGATAATTAACCACCTACAGTATTGGGAGCAATGAGTTGCAAAACAGTTAGTTAGTTTTCATATAATGTGTTTCTTTATCCAGCTTCTTTTACTTGCTTTTCTGAGCAGGGTCACGGTGTTATCTCATGCAGTCATTGTGAGAGACGTGTGGTACACCCTGGACACGTTGTATGTGTTCTGTCAAGATTAAAATCAAACTGCCATAAAAATGAGAATGATCATTTCTTTGTAAGTGAGCAATTAGTAGGGAAATCAGAGATTAAATAATTATTTTCCACACCCTATATGTCAGTGACTTCTACAACTGAAAACATACCACTACAGTAGTCCCTTGTTTAACGTGGGGGATCTGTACCCTGAAGACCTGCGATAAGTGAAAAACCGCAAAGTAGGAATAGTAGTACAAGTAGTATGTAG